GCTTTGGACGCTTGGGTGTCATACGAAATTTATACCAGATACAAACAAATGCCCACAGTTCATCAGAAAGTAACTGTCAACACAACAGCCGGTTCTTTTATTGCAATTCATTTGGACAAATCTGCCTCGTCCTCTGTTGCTGGATACGGCTATATATGCAATGATGATACCCCTCCTACAAATAATACCCATGAAGCACTTCATACCAACAGTGCACTTATTGTAAAAGTTGTGAAAATAACTATTCCTGGATACCCTTTGGAGTGTTACAATGAGGGTCTGACCTTAGGTGATTTCCATAATATACCCTTCACTGTTTATATCAAATGCAAATATCTGTTTACAGCTTCAGAAAGAGTACATAATGCAGTTTCTGATACTTCTAATACCCCAATCATACAAATACCACCCATTAGCAGCGATACCACTTCTTCACCAATCAATACCAATAAGAATTCTGTCGACTCCCGTGTTTTAAAAGATGGATTTCATATTATGGACATGATCAAAATCAATAAGTCTCATGGAATGCAAAAAGACTTCATGCGTCGTTTCCGTGACATCATGTATGTATGTGACCAAGAGGATAAAGCTTTAGTAGAAAGTTATCTTGAAAGTATTGGTACGGACTGGAAGACACGGATGTTGGTAAACCCTGCTTGGATATTCGAACGTGTAAGAAGGCATATACCCCCAGCCGAAGAATTATACCCCGCCTTGAAATTCCTTTTTGAAAGCTACGGTCCTCTCAGGTGTGAGCATTCCGGCCTTAAACTCTTCAATGACGCAGCTGTTGCCATGTCCCTGCATGTTTTGGATTCGGTGAAGCAAGGGCATGTCTCAGACGTTGTTAATGGGCCTCCATTATATACCGAAAAAGGCTTGGACAAAAACAATCTCATGACATATAAATGCTCCAGAGGAACAAGCTCGGTTGAAGGAGCATGCCATATGAACATTGTTCGAAGGTTTGCTTCTTACAATGCATCAGTTAGATTGACCGACTCAATTTTAGCCGACTACCGGTTATATCATAACCTCAATGTAAGTAATAAATGATTTAAAAAATATTTCATAAACTGAAAGTTATACATCATCATAGGTTGGATCAATTAACAGATACGGTAAAAAGCATCAAGGCCATTATAGTCCTTGGCTTGTACTGGCTATAAATTTATTAAGAGCTGAAGTAGGTCACGATACCGTTATGAATTATACCTGTGAACGCTATGGGAGTTACTTGAATTTTGAACAGACCAATGAAACTTTTGGTGTCGTCGATATACCCAGAACATTTGGCAACTCAATTGGAATTAGGCCTACTGAATCTCTTGCTCCAAAAAAAGTTAAAATAACAAAAGGTCGGATGACAGAACTTGCTTCTTTGCCTGTGGTAGAGCTTCCGAAAATTGGTTATTCCGCTAACAAGTTCAAATACAAATATCTATCGAATTGTCAAGGCACCTTGTATGCTGTAACTGCTGTTCATACAAAGGAAGAAGTATGTCTTTTTGAAACTCTAATTAATACCCAAGGCCAAGAGAGTACATCTATATACCAACCTTTTGATTCGGAAAAACCGAATTTCGAGCTTTTCGCTTTAACATGGAACTCTAAACATTGCCAACATGATACCAATATTTATTACAAGACACCAGGGCATTTAAAATCATATTTTAACATTTTAGAAGACAGGAAAAAATACGGAAATACTGTTCTCAAAAATATTGAAATATCACAAAGTGTTCGAGTACTTGCTGAATCCCCATCCAGGTTTATAAGATCAATACCTGCATTACCCAAACCAATACCCCCTATAGAGCAACATTTTCCACTTGGTACAATCAACCCACCATCACCTCAATTACAGATGATACGCCCTGCATATCGCTCCAGACATATCCCGGGTGCCACACCTCTTACAATACCACTTTCACGCCACGTTACAGCTGAAGTAATCAATCTATCAAATAACAGAAAACGGAAAAGAGTATGTGTGGTATGCATGGTAGATAACTGTCCTGGAAGTTCCAAAGGTTCTCTGTGCAGTAACAAATGCGGACGATGCAGACAAGAAAGCTGTACAGGTAGACACGTTAAACAACCAAAAACTGGGAAGAAAGATTTTGTACAGCCTTTGCCTTGTTTAAATTTATAAATGTAGCTGATAATGTATGCTGGAATTGCTACCCGTCATTATTGGCTACAAACCCAAATCACTAATACCTAATTACAAATAAATCATGATATTTCCCTTAAATCACTTCAATAAATCTCGTAAAAAACAAATGGAACTTTACACGTAAAAAATTAAGTCAACCCTTCTAAAATCCAAAAATTTGGGTGCCCAAGGGCACCCAAATTTTTATGAATTAAATGCAAAATCAGATTAATTAAATGATATTTTAATGAAATGGCCCAACTATGGTTACACGGCCAGTAGCATCAACCATGATCATGTGACTAGAGTATTAACACTCCTCTCCTAAATTACGGTCTGACACTTATAATTAAAATAGCATTTACTGAATCATAATAAAACCATCTTTTGATCTCCTAAATAATCTTAGATATATTCGGTCGTTACATAACAATAGTTTCTCCACAGGCGCATGTGTGGTAACTACGTTTAGATAAGTATAAATATCTCTCGTCAATCCTTAAATGAGACGATAACTCTTTTACGACTCTACTTAAATACTTATAACTAAGCTGTACACTTATATCCAATCCGACACATGTCATTGTTGCTTATCATCAGAGGATTTAGGGCCGTCACAAGCAGGAAAATATTTTTTAAAGTCCCGATTTAGGACTGTTGTTATGGGGTGTTGCTGGCGGATATAGAAAATACAAGTATCACAATGGGGTGTAATGAATATGAAGTCACGGATAAATTGTACTTATATATGCCGAGGTTTAAGTATCACCCGTTCTACCAGATACTTTGCCGAAGATAATTTACTTATTATCTTCACTTATATAAATACCGTTATGCCGAACCTATGCCAAATTACCCCTATGAAAAACACTATATATATTATGCTCATTTCTATATCAATAAAAGAATAATTCTTATTCAATTCTATTTCTTAAAATAGTCCCAATAAGTCCGATTATTACATGGGGAGCAATGTTTGTGACGGCTATTGTGATTCTATAGTCATATATGTTGGTTGCTGCTGTGGAAGCATGTGAGTGATACACAGTACTACCCGACCCCATTATAAATTCGTAAAATCATAATCATTAATAAAATTAAGGCCTTTGACCCTAATCGTATCCGAAAGTATAATAGCTGCTCACGCGTTAGAAGTACTCTATTATAGTTAAGAAGAAGTCGAATAGAAAAGTTCATTAAGTCACTAGGTAATTAAGATCCCTATACAACATTGTAAAACAGAAGTGACTAGCTTACGTTTTAAGAGAGATGAAAAGACTAAGGTTTATCTATATGGATCAAGTGTGGTGTTTTGGATAATAAAAATTCAGACAGAAAGGAAATAAAACAAAAGCAGTATTACTTTGAGACTGTTGATATGTTGTATTTAGTTAAAAGGGAATTAGGGGTTATCAAGGTCAAAGAATAAAGGATATATATAAGATGTCCGAATTTAAATTATAAAATTATTGCATAATGGAAGTACACTATTTAAGTGCAGTGTCTTCTTGCACTATTTTAGTTAAAGATGTGTAGAGACTAAAGAAGTGTATTTGTTTTGCATGGAGAACAAAATAAAAAATAAACCAAAAGTGATACTGTTAGAACTTGGATACCACTTTATTATGGACGAGAAAAATATAATTAAAAACCATATAAAAATGTGTATTCAAAAATGTATTGATCGTCTATGAGAAAAAACTATAAATATTTATATAAAGAACTGGGATAGTTCTAGGGAGAATAGTAAGCGCCTTATTGGATCATGATTGTGGTGACCTAGCAAGGCTATAGCCATATTAGAGCTAACAAAGGTTTATCCATGCTGATACCATTTGTCATATAAGCTTAACAATAAATGTCATAGTAGGAACTATAAGGATATTACATCACAAGTCTAATATAGTACGTCTGAGAAATACTCAAAATTTAGTTTAAAGCAAAGAGTCAAGAAGACTTAACATTTATTAGAAGAAGACTAAATTATTGATTATGTAATAGTCATATATATTTTTGGTTAATCAATGATAACTTCAAGATAGCACTAGAGATATGAACACAGCAGACAGTCTTTTATATAAATACTCGTATATTTCATTTATTAATAAAGGACAACCTTATAAACAGTCTCAAACTACTTCTATAGTCTTTTTATAATTTTACTTTACCTTAAAACACAACAATGATGTAATAATATGGTGATATAAATAATCAACATGTTTTTAAATTTAGCCCTTCCATACTGAGTATATAAATATTAGTCAGAGGGATCACCAGTTATAACTGTCGTATTTACTCCTACCATTAAACCGAATATAATTACAATTTAGCTTGCCTCTTCGTTATAACACACCATGTTATAACAAGAACTCTAGTGAATATCATTCCTAGTGGTTAAAGGCACAATGCCAGTAACACACAACATTTACTCTGCGATTATATCTTACATTAAATCCAGGTTGCCGTGTAACTGTGGAATCTTATAACATATGTACTTTGATCAAGAACTCTAAATCCCTTAACTTCAAGTAAAGGAATTATGAATGATTATATTTATATAAAGACTCCAAACATACAAAAGCGAGGATACATTACATAAGTAATAAACTCTACCTTATGTTGACATTGATTTGTACTTCAAATTAAGGTATCACCACCTCGTGTCAAACCTTAATTAGAACTGAGCAGAGAAAGTAGCTGAAGTTATAATTCGTATATAAAAAGACCTCTAATTTTATTCATGACACACTCTCCAATTTATAATAAAGGAACAAAGAGTCTCATTTCTTACTTCCGACTATAAACACCTACATACATACGAATTATCACATTTTTTTAAATGAATACTCTCGATCCTTCCTCAGCTGTACCCCATCAAGATGCTCCGGCCCATATCGACACTACCGTCAACCCTGGTCCCCCTGCTCCTCTTGGTACTAATGCTGTCCCTGGTACATCTGATACTATCAATGTTTTCACTGCCCGTCCTATGGACATTGACGTTGAGTTCGATAACGAGGTAAACCGTAATGGTAATAACTCAAAATCGCCCTTGGTTGGTCCTGCTTCTGAAGCACCCAACTCGAAGTCACCCTTCACTGGATCTGGTTCTGCAGCTCCCGATCGTAACACGTTTGAAGTAAACGCTGATCGTGCACTGATCAGAATCGGCGAAATCCAATCGAAACTTGCTGCCCTATACGAGAAGGAGTCTGCAATCATGGATGTCTTACCAGCAACCATCGATGATTCTAACCTCAGGGAGTTGCAACTCAATACTATTCGACGTGATATTGCTCATTGGAATGCCCAAATTGTTGTTAATAACGATTTGTACACTTCTTGCAAACAAACGTCTGTCAAGTTAATTACTAGCTTGGCCCAGGTAATGAAGTTAGATGATGCCGAAACTGTTTCTGAAAAGAGACAAAAGGATCACTCTGACATTCCAGCTAAGGAGATTCCGGTCTTTGACGTCAAATATTCTGATTTTGACTCTAATCCCGACGTCCACAATCCCGAAGACTACTCTTTAAAATCTTTCATTCGTAAGTTTGAAAGAGTCTATAAGAATTACGGTGTGGATGTGGAACTCCACTGGCTTTTCCATCTCGAAGCTAGTTTTGAGAATAACGATCTCTACAACAACTGGTTTCACCAGAACTTTAAATCTGAATTGAAAAATAAGAAAAAGTCATGGTCTGATGCGAAGAAAGTCCTTGAACACCGTTTCGATGCCTCCGCACGTTTGGGTATAGTTAAAACTAACATGATGCTGTATAATTTAAAGCAGTATTCACATGAACAATTAGCCCAGTTCATGGATCGCTACGGTGCTTGTGTTCGTGCTGCTAGGGTTCAAACCCAGGAAAATTTCTATTTTACCGTTAATTTTTTGATGTCTCTCTATACCAATAGATTTCAAGAGAAGGTTAAAGAACGTATGGACGAATACATGAAGTTGAATCCTTTGAATCATGATTCCTCTATGGCTAGCAAGCACGCTAATCTCGGTGAAGATCAATTCTTTGAATACTATAGCAACTTCGGTCGCGTGTGCGAAGCATTGAATCATTTCCTTGGTGAATTAGAAGTATCTTTGAAGGAAATCCAAACCCTTGCTGATGCCAAGCCTTCTGCCAATCCTACCGCTCCTTCTGAATCTAGTACCTCCGGTAAAAAGGATGCTACAAAGAAAAGAAAACTTGAAGTTACACCTGCTGCTGTTGTTGAAACTACTGCCCCAAGTGTTGTTAACCTCGAGAGAGTGTACGACCACACCTACGAGTTGTCCGCTGATGAACGCCGCTTTGTCCGTAAAATGGGAAAGTGTCTGTCCTGCCGTATAGCCGTATTTTCCGATGAACATTATAAGACTTGTCCTCAAAGAAAGAAGAACACTTCCCACCGAGTAAGTAATACTAGTGATAAATCACTCACTCTTCTTTCCAATGTTCTCGAAGAAATTGTTCCTAATCCCTCTCCTTCTCCTAGCCCAGACGCTAAAGAAGAAGAGTTGATCGTCCAACCCGATATCTTCGAAGATGATAACGAATACTTGGCCGCACTTAATGATTTAGACAATTTTATTATCCACGATAATGATGAAATTGATTATAACGATAGCAACACATATTCTCAAAAAAATATTTTTTCTATCCAAATAAACTCCATTTCTACCAACTGCTTTAATAGTTTTTCTATCAAGAGTAACACCGTCGGTGATAGTAATAACCCATTCGTTTCTAACAATGTGGCTTATTCACCAGTTACTCCAATCATTATTAATTCAGTAAAATCATATGCTACCTTGGATACTGGTGCCCAAGTATCAGTCATGAATAAACAGTTTGCCGTTGAGAATAACATTCAGTTTCACAAAATTGATGGTACACTTCTATTAGCTAACGGTACACAAATTGAACGATTTCAAACGACTGAATACTTGTCACTAGACTATGATGGTGTTGAAAAGAAAGTACTGCACAAGTTTGATATTATAGACAATAAGCTCTTATCCATCTCCAATAAGATTTTAATTGGTGTAGATTTGATGCCTAAACTCTCTATTCAACTAATTAATGTTGCGTACAAATTCAAAGACACTCTCAAGGTAGCAGATAATTCCATTGATGATCAGGCTTACGCACCAAATGTAACACCATTTGGAACGGAAAAGGAACAACTTGCGTTTAACATAGCACTTAAGCCATATATTGAGGCTAATCAAGCTCTAAAGAAAAACTCATTTTGTAACATTCCTGAAAGTGTCCTACACCTTCCCACTCCTCCTGATTATTACGCTCATGTTCGCCAATATCCAATTGCTTATAAATTGCAGCCAAAAGTAATGGAAGTAATTAACGATTGGGTATCCGACGGAATTATTACTAGGGCACCTGCATCTGCTTGGAATCTTCCCATTACAGTCACTCTGAAAAAGAATCATGAATCTGGTGTAACATCTTCCAAAGATAACATTACCAAAGATGATATCAGAGTTGTTCTGGACACAAGATTGTTAAACAAAGCTCTTCCTACAATTAATGAAACACAACCATTGATCAATGACATATTTTTCACTTCAATGGAAGGCTGTGTGGTATTTTCTACTATTGATCTCAAATCTGCCTTCTCTCAATTTCGGGTTAATCCAGATGACCAGATCAAGACCAGTTTTACTGGCCCTGACAACTTGAAGTATATGCACGTAGGATCACCGTTCGGCGTCTCTACCATCAGTCAATTGTTTAGTAGAGTAATTCTCTCATTATTTAAGGACCTCCCATATGTTCGAACTTTTATTGACGATATATGTATCATGTCTCGATCCATTAATGCACACTTCCAACACGTAAAGCACGTGGTATCTATCCTGACTCAGGCTAATTTACGTATCAACTTTAAGAAAACACACTTTGCTAAGGCTGAAGTATATCTTTTAGGTTTTTCCATCTCTGCTAGAGGTCGAAGAATTGATACTCGTAAACTATCCAATCTGGAATCGTTACCTAGACCTGTTACTTCCAAACAGTGTCAGTCTTTCTTAGGATTTGTAAATTATTTCAGACAACACATTCCCAATGCAGCTATGCTAATGGCACCCATCGACTTCCTTCGATCCCACGATCTAAAAAACAAAGGAAAAAGATTTGAATGGTCCCCCATTCACGATATGCACTTTAATACTCTCAAACAGATTCTCGTTTCTGACATTGTATTGTGCCATCCTGATCTCAGTCACCCGTTTTGTATTGCAACAGACGCTTCTGATTTTGCGATTGGCTGTTCCTTATTCCAGGAATATAAGACTACAACTGCAGATGGAAATCCAAAGACTATTATCAAACATATTGGGTTCTTCTCGCGAAAGCTATCTTCCAGTGAGGTTAGATATAGTTGTACTATGAGAGAAATGCTTGCTTGTGTTTTTGCCTTAAAACAATTCCACAAATTTATCTGGGGTACACACTTTACCTTGTATAGTGATCACAAAGCTCTCTCATACCTCCATACACAAAAACATTCCAATTCTATGATGATCAAATGGCTAGACATAATATTAGACTATGACTTCAAAGTTGTCTACATCAAAGGTGTAGATAATATCTTACCTGATGCTCTATCTCGTCTATATCCCCCATCTGTCGATGTCGATCCAGATCATAGTAAACCCGTACGTGTCACTTCCCATGGTAAAAATCATGCAATTTCTGGTCACATCAACCTTAAGAAAAAAGAGTTGAGTGTTCGATCAGTACAAATTCATGTTGACTTTACACGTGACTCTTACAAATACTTGCCTTCATTTCGTCAGAATGAACTTTACAAACGCGATCTTCTAGATTCTCCTGTAAGCGCAAATGAACCCCACACTGATCCCGTCCCTACGTGTGACAGTAAGACCCACGACTCTTCGAATAATCTATTTTATATTCAGAGTGGGCAAAGTATTCATGCTGATTATTTAGTTGCTCCCGAATCGGAAAGAAAAGAACTTCTTGAAGATGCTCATAACAAAGTCGGTCATTATGGTGCTGAACAGATGGTAAAAAGACTTCACCAGGAAGGACTTCACTGGCCAAAGCTTATTAATGACTGCATTGAGTTTATTCGGAAATGTACTGAATGTCAAAAGCATAATATTCAAAAAAGAGGTTACCACCCTTTACGCCCCATTTATAGCTACCTCCCTGGCGATCATTACGCCGTCGACCTCGGCGGACCTATAAATACTACATCTGTGCGAGGAAATAATTATTTTTTAGTAATTGTTTGCGTTGCCACACGATTTTGTGTTCTACGCCCTCTTCAAGATAAACGTAGTGATACTGTCATTACTGCTCTTGTCGAGGTGTTCTCTATCCTTGGCTTCCCTTGTGGTGGTATAATCCAAAGTGATAATGGCCGCGATTTCCGCCATACTTTAGCAGCTGACCTTGCTACAGCTATGGGAATCGATCACCGGTTTATTACACCTATGCATGCCAGTGCCAACGGTATCAGCGAAAGATTTGTGCAATCCGTTAAACGATTACTTGCCAAAGCCACTCAGGGTGTAGGTAATGATTGGGATTTACATCTTAATGCTGTCCAACTTGCTCTTAACAATCGTATATCAAAGAAGTTAAACTCAACTCCTTTTTCATTGATGTTTGCCCGTAAAATGGCAGAGCCATTTGGATTCCGTAAATTGGATAGCTCTGTGCCACCCGAGAAACGTCAACCAATTTCTCACGAGGAATTAATGAAGCGTATCGATTACATGGCCGACATTGTATTTCCTGCTATCCATGCAAAAACAATGGCACAACTCGACCTTTAAAAAGCCAAATTTGATAACAAACATCTCCTTGTCGATTACCCTGAAGGTAGTCATGTGATGGTTCGGTTACAAACAAAAGCGGGTCAATTAGCTCCTTCGTATGTTGGTCCCTATTCTGTCGTTAGAAAGAATCGTGGCAATGCTTATATTTTAAGAGATCATACTGGTGCTCTCATGCCTCGTAACTACACCTCTGTCGAACTCAAACTCATCTCCCAAGATGAGGTCATTGAACTGGATGATGAGGGCAATGAAATGAAAAGTTACGAAGTTGAAGCCATTTTAAATCATCGAGGTCCTCCCACTAAAAGAGAGTACCTTGTTCGATGGAAAAACTATAGTAGCGATTGGGACGAATGGATTGGGCAGGACCAATTTAACGCCAATGACACCTTACGGGACTATTGGAAGAAGATCGGTATCCCTTACAAACCCAAGAAATCTAATGTCATCACCAACTCCCCTACATCCTTATCTGCTTTGAAAAAGAATGCCCCAGGCTCTATTTCATCGTTGATGAGCTCCTTTTCTGGTGATACGTCTGCTGTAGATACGACCTTAACCTCTGTTAAACCAAGTATTTCCAATAGAACGTCCTCACGTCGCAAAACTACTTCCACAGACACGGTTGTTCACTCACCTACTGTACCTCCTAGTTCCAACGCACGTATAAGTATACATCCGGTATCTTCTCCACGTCGTTCGAAACGTCACTTTGCTGCCAAACAGACTAAACCACATTCCCAGTAATACGTTAAGTCTTGGTCCAAATTTTTTTTTTTTTTTTCCCTCTTTATTTTTTCTGCTTATTGCTGATCATCTCTTCTATCGAGACCTGCGCAAATGGTTGAAGGGTAATCATATTCTGGTGGGGGGCAATGTCGTATTTACTCCTACCATTAAACCGAATATAATTACAATTTAGCTTGCCTCTTCGTTATAACACACCATGTTATAACAAGAACTCTAGTGAATATCATTCCTAGTGGTTAAAGGCACAATGCCAGTAACACACAACATTTACTCTGCGATTATATCTTACATTAAATCCAGGTTGCCGTGTAACTGTGGAATCTTATAACATATGTACTTTGATCAAGAACTCTAAATCCCTTAACTTCAAGTAAAGGAATTATGAATGATTATATTTATATAAAGACTCCAAACATACAAAAGCGAGGATACATTACATAAGTAATAAACTCTACCTTATGTTGACATTGATTTGTACTTCAAATTAAGGTATCACCACCTCGTGTCAAACCTTAATTAGAACTGAGCAGAGAAAGTAGCTGAAGTTATAATTCGTATATAAAAAGACCTCTAATTTTATTCATGACACACTCTCCAATTTATAATAAAGGAACAAAGAGTCTCATTTCTTACTTCCGACTATAAACACCTACATACATACGAATTATCACAATAACATCAAATGACAAGAGTAATATTTGTTCTCAGAATCTATCAATATTCTATAGTACAGGCCCATTCGATTGTATTGCTTTTGCAGAATAAATATTTACTCGCCACAGGGATGTGCCCTGTGTACAGACTCCAACGGTAGGATGAGAACAAGCGGGGTAATGCGTGATTCATGATTGACTTTTATATTTATTATCCATCCATAAAGTGATGTGACAATTAACTTTATTATTATATCTATGATATCCTCAACAGTATTTTCTTTATCAAGTATGGATGCTGAGATATTTATATTTTAGTGTAGAATGTATGATGTAAGTGTATCTGATGTTATTTGTATGATGATGATTTTATTAGAAGTAAGCCAGATCATCACATCAAGCATAATATATATGGTCGTAATAGTAGTCACATATATTCTGGCACGTGTAAGGTTTAGCAAGTCAAGTTTGTGGTAATTCAAATATCAACTACTATCGACATATGATCTTTTGCCCGATAAGATCATTGTATGCCATCTATGCGAATTACTATGACAAACTAAATCTATGCTACTATATTCGAACTTATGCCTTTTGACAATTATGATCAATATAAATACATAGAACATTCATCCAATAGAGATAATCTATATTCTATGTCTTACTTTTAACAGTCCCTGTTGAGGATGTCATAGATTGTAATAAAGGAATCATCACATTACATAATAATGGATGATCATGTATAAATATGTGGTATTCTTGGCGAACCAGCTGGCGCACCGAAATCGGGCTTTAAAATAAAATTCTTACATAATAAATTCATTTTGGGTGCGCACGAATAGTGCACCAAGCTATTACGTAATATGTTCAGTTTTGGTGCGCTGAATGGTGCGTCAAGAAAAGTGTCTCCGTATTTGTACCATATTATGTGAACAACAGCACTTTGCTTCAAGAGTGTTCATCTTCAATTTTCAGTCCCCACTTTTATCTTTTAAAAAAATGGACGTGTTTGAGGTTACAGAAAAAAGTAAATCGACAATGGTCGCGGCTTTTAACGAAACCTTTGGAGTCGGAAGTACTTTTGATACCATGTCGCAATTGCGTCCCGAAGCAAATGAGTATGGAAGAAAACACAACATGGTATTCGTTACTGTAAGATCTGACTTTAAGAACAATTCGATTGTCTTGGCTTGTAAGCATTATGGTGAATACAGATCTGCACACAAGCTAGCAAAAGATCCCACTGTTGACTTAGCAGAAACAGGTACATCTGTGACTCAACGATACGTCAAGGATTCGCAAAGATGCGAATGCAGTCGTTTCATTAAAATCAAAAAGTCTGTCTCTGGTAGTGTTGTAGTCTATGAAAGTTATGGCTTACATAACCACCCAATTCCTGGCGACAAAACAACGTATGCTGCAAATCGCTTACAGCCAGCCGAAGTCATGAAATTGATAATGCAAACATTGAATCTATGCGGACCAAATAGCGTTGAGACTACTATGCAGGTATATTTAAAAAATTACTGCCATTTAAATCTAAAATAAATAAACGCATACATATTATTTAGGTTTTACAATTGAAAGGTATCATGAACGTATTAAAAAAGGATATTTATAACATTCGTCAATTGTTTTTGGGTGGTGAAACGTCATGCGAAATGTACCGTTTCATAACAGGCCTTCAAAGCAAAGGTTACCATGTGAGAAATTCGAGAGATAAAGCTACGAATTAAGAATAAAAATAAAGAAATTTGACGAAGTAAAATTATCAAACTGCAAAAATAAACTAAAGTCTTTATTATACAATAAATTGGGTTCTTTATATACATATTCAGGGCTGGCTGAATATCAAGCATTAAAGTGAAACCTGTCAAATATACAATAGGCGTATTGTCAATTAAAGATCGAGCATCTCATGGTACCTTCGAGAATCTTGTTATTGACGAGCGATCATATCATTGGATTGTATTATCTGGAATAAATGTATGACTATTGTTTTCTATATGTTGATGAGTAATCAATGCGTAGTAAATAGAGTGTAATAGCATGTATTTGATTTAAAGAGTAATGCAATAATGATTTATAGAAAGGTTATCAAATAAGAAAGAAAGAATTGATGATAGAGTTATATCTGTATATAAGCTCGATCACAACACCATGTTCGTTTCTCCGTTGATGCCAAAAACCAAATCTATTTAATTTTTTTCTGTCACCCAGATTCAATCAAGGAGGCTAGAATCATGGCTGAATCTATTATTGTAGACGCAACATACAAGACAAACTGTCACAAACTGACATCTGTCAACATTGTCGATACATCTAATATCTCGTCTACCGCCAGTAACTTGGGTAGAGGACATCCCCAAACACTTGCTATTGGAGGTGCATGGATTAACAATGAGCTTGAGACAACATACACCTGGGTTTTGCAACTTTAAAACGCTATTTGGTACTATGACAGTCTACATGGAACACCCAAAGTATTCGTCACTGATGTGATGATCTGACTTACTTCTTGATAAAAACCATAATAAAAATAACATCAGATACACTTACATCATACATCTAACACTAAAATATTAATATCTCAGCATCAATACTTTATAAAGCAAATACACCTCTTTAGTCTATGTACTTCTTTGACTAAAATAGTGTAAGAAGACACTGCACTAATTTAGTACAATTCCATTACGCAATAACACGGCGAGAAAAAATATGTGAAAATTATTGGAAATTATTGTGCAACCTAATTGTTGGAAAATGCATTTTTAAACATTTTTTATTGGGCAATATTTTCCAACAAGATTAATATATTTTGGTTGAGCAATAAAGTTGTGTGAATACTGTGTGAAAAATATGGTACAATAATATCGTATAATAATATTGTACAATAATAGCGTATAATAATATTGTATAATAATATCGTATAATAATGTTGTATAATATTGAATAATAAGACTGTATAAAATTTTTTTTAATAATATTGTATATTGGTAGTTATAAAAAGATTTTATTAAAGAAATTAAAAAAAAAAAAGCATCGAAAGAGGCACTACGAATTGTTTCGATGAAGATGAGGCTGCCAAAGCTATTGTGACATTAGTCTGGCACGTCGAAGATCCCTTTTAAGTATAGAAAAGTTGACTTAGTTAATACGTTTTTCAATTATCACATAAATTACACATTTATTACCTTTGTCGTCTCTGGTAGGCAGACATTTGTGTCCATTTTGTCTGTAGAATGATCAGACAAGGCCAAAGATCGTGACATCGTCTAATAACATCCAACACGTTGTATTCTTGCAATGCAATCTCCAACGTGTTCTCAGCCATTTCCAGCTTATAGTCATGACCAAGCCCTCCCCATCCAACGAATTCCAGTTCCCCGTGTGCATTTCGCATACTTTGTACACTTACCAGAGCTGCACGGTTAACACACAGGTACAAATCATTGTGCTGATTATTCTCGGCCAAGTGAGCTTGCAAGTATTGGAAAAACCCGGTCTTTCCGTTGAGATTGGACGGTCTAGGAATGCGATTGCCAATTGTTTCACCTTGATAGACACGCAATGATTGTGTCGTTTCGACGGCAGTCGCTCTTTCCACATGTTGACGGACAAGATTCGTCAGGTCAGCAATCGCTGCATTCATACGATCGAGTCGGTCCATCACATTATTATGATTTTCTGTCATACGGGTTTGTACTTGATTTAAAGCATTGGATAACTCTTCGTTTGATGGTGTTTTTCCCTTGTTGTCTGGGAGGCATCGTAACGTTTAGAGAGAAAGGTAAAGAAACAGGAAAAGCAAGCTCAAACGAAAAGTAAGTTTCGAATAATGTTAATAAACAACAGTTACCAAAAATCCGGCCCAAAACATAAGCTCAATACCACCTCTATTTTCTTACTCATCAATCAGTTCTATAAAAAAACATTAATAACATAGAATGGTACAGAAAGTCAAATGCAGTTTTTGCCCACGATACCTTACTCCAAGGTCTTTGCAGAAGCATTTAAAAGACCATAAAAAACAAAAAATTGTTCAATTGAATCTGAGAAGAGAACAAGGTGACTGAGTTTAGCTTCATTGCAACGATTTAAAAGTACTAATCTGATGTGCTCTAAAGAACGAAATGTTGTTTCTCCAATGGAAGGTTCCGCTCGTGCAGTTAGCGTCGTTGAATCAGAAGGAGATGCTATGGAATTTGTGTATGAAGGTACTTGAAAATTATTAAATTGTTTTAAACTTTTCTTACTCTAATTAAGCAGCAGACAACGACGGTCCTACTGAAGACTTCACTACACAGTCTGAAGATGTTGGAGCTGACGCTCTTGAAGAGTTGGAAGAGCCTCAAGAAGAATTGGATCAGAGACAAAGATGGTGGTTACAATAATAACCTGTTCCTAAATCTTAAAAATTTCAAAACCTCCGCTAGGGTTCCTGATGACGTCACTGTCGATCAGGACAAACTCGCTAACCTAAGCTATACTGAAAAGAAAAGCATAGAGTTTGAATCGTTGCTTGCCAAGTCGGGCGCATCTAAAAATGGCAAAGAGCGCATCATAAAATGGGTTAATTGCTATTTGGAGGAAATTGGCGTTGGTAAGGATTTAGAATAAAGCGCATTATGACATTTAGCTCACAACTAATTTTGACAGGCCACAAAACGCTCTTAACCCAATTTCGATCGAGCAAGAAAGAACTTGCTGTATTTTGCCCTGTTGAAACAGATAAGTATGACATGTGCTTAAAGAAATGTCAGATGTTTTATCCCGGAGATAATAGCCGAGCATGTAGTAATCCTAAATGCCAGGAGGATCGCTATGATGATGCAGGAAGATCGAAAGCGCAAATCGAGCAACTTTCTCTTGCTAAGCAGCTGGCGCATCTTCTTAAGACACCTCAATTCAGATCGGACATCTCTTATAAATCGACAAGACATACTGCCTTTTATTCTAACAAATCAGGTAGTAACTATGCTTTTTTGGAAGATATTTTCGACGGAACAGCTAAAGATAAATGGGACGGTTATAATGAAGAGTGTCCCACAAGTGATTACAAATTGGATCTGGTGATGTATACTGATGGATTTAATCCTTTTAAAAGGGGCGGTGTAAGCATGACTGTAGTAGCATTTGTCATTTTAAATCTATCGCAAGAGCTACGGTTAGTGTCTTTAATGTTTTGCAATGTAAATATACAAAACTAACACATATGTTTTTTCTACCAGATTCAAAAAAAAGAATATCTTGATTACCACAATCATACCAGGTCCCAAAAAATCGTACAATATGCATAGTTTTCTTTTTCCAACATATCAAGAGCTTATAAAATTAGAAAAAATGGAATGCTAGTGAAGTTTAGTAGTGGCGAACAGAAGCTTCTTACTGCATCTCTCGTGGTAGCTATTGGTGATATCCCAGCATGTGCTGATATTTGTGGTCATATTGGCCATCAAGCTTATTTTGGATGCCGCATTTGTCGAACCGAAGCTATGCGGGTTAAAGCAAGTATGTGCTATCCCTTTCCACAAGATGGCATTTTTACAGAATTAATTAGAAAACCCGAAGATTTTATTCAAGGAGACGAAGTAAGTTTTTTAAGAGTCTTCTTTTTTAAAAAAAAAATCATTAATTCGTTGGTATTAGAAAAATGGCATTGTTCGAAAATCACCACTTTCCCTTTTAAATAGTTTCCACGGCCCATTTTTTTGGGGATTAGACGAGATGCATTTCTGGGGAGCAAACGTCGGCGGCAAAATATGGGCAATTATTACTGATGATGGTCAGAAATATCAAGATGCAAGCAACCCTCTGTTCCTTCGTGTTAAGTATCGAGAGCTTATATCTGCAAAAATGCAACAGGCCCAACAAAACAAGCACAGCTGTAGTATTAGCGGAGCTTTCTTGGGCAGGATATGTCAAAACATAATACAAGACAAATTTATTTAACTTAAGCTATTTTTTAAAAAAACAGATGTCCATAAAAAGTCCGGTTTTTTTCGCAGTGTAGACTGGATTGATTTCATTGTGTTTATATTGCCAACACTTGTGGTAGAAGCTCTTCAACTTCGAAAAAGAGATGTTATTCGAAAAGAAACAGCTTCCAAATCAACATCAAGAATGTCATTGGATCAATTACAGGTCTACGAGACTGCTACTGATAATGCATGCAGAGCAATTGTTTCTCTTTCTAATGCCTGTAAAATGACGCAGAAATACAGCATATCAGAAATCGATTTAGTAGATTGAAACCGGTAAGTTCATAAAAAATCAGTGTAAACTATTACTAATACAAACGTAAATTAAACATTTATCATAGTCGCATTAAAGAATGGCAAAAATGTTTGGTGGCAAACTTCCGCCCCAATGTATTCACAGTCAACATGCACTATATTAATCACCTAAGTGATGCTATCGCTAATTTAGGACCTATGCGTTTAATAAGTGCAAGGCCACTTGAAAGACTGATTGGAAGTATCAAATCTTCAATCAAATCACGCCAAAAGCCAAGCGAAAACGCAAGTAATTGCGTCAAATCTCATTTCGCTGCTGTTTACAAAGCAAACTGGTTTCCTACAAACAGCAATTCAATTGTTTATGGAAAAGAATTAACGAAACAGAATTGCATAACTCTTGTTGAAAGATTTCATGAATGTTCTGAACTAGAGGGGGCAGCCATAGAAAGAGCACTCAATCTAAATGAGGAAGCTCAAACAGTGGAAAGCTACTTCCCAATCAGAAGCGGTAGAACGTTGAAAACCATCGAGCAAGGGTACTTTCGTAGTCTACTGTACACAGGCCGATGACAGTAGGACCCTGTACAGGTGTATCGAAAGAACACCACAGCTGAAGTATGGACAAGTGCTGTTCATGTACTGTAATGAAGGGTTGCACTTTGCCTTGGTCAAGACAGTCTTCCCAGTAAAGTACAATGCAGAACAAGACTGTCATTACTATTTTAAGAACGACGATCTAAACCATGCATTTGAAGTCGTCATGCTCTCACATGTCGTTTCTTATGGCATAGAAATTGGATCATTAAACGATCAGGACATAGGACGTGTCAATTTGGTTTGGGGTTCTGTCTAACTCATTTTTTTTAACAACATAAGCACAATTCTGTTGACCAAACAGTGGGTTTCTTTAGAATTAATATGAATACATGGTTCTGTACATTTATGCATTACTTATAAATAAATTATTACCCATTATTTTTCACATTTTATCTTACAACAGTTTTAAACAAATACTTCGACTTATTTCAACAATTGGAAAATGTATGACTAGTGTTGTCTTTTTATTGGATCACGAGTTTCAAATGGGAATAATTACCCAACAATTGTACAACATTTTTTTAATATTTTTTATTGCACAACATAATCCAAACAAAAATACAACGTAACTCCAATGTTGGAATCATATGTGATTTTGTTGTATTTTTATTGTACAATGCTTATCCCATCAAAATATTGTCCTATTATGTTACAACTATTAACAACCATATTATTGGAATTTTCAAGATTCCAATATGTTTCAAACCAAAATACAACGTAATTCCAATGTTTGAATTATGTGTGATTTTGTTGTATTTTTATTGTACAATACTTATCTTATCAAAATATTGTCCTATTATGCTACAACTATTAACAACCATATTATTGGAATTTTCAAAATTCCAATATTTTTCAAACCAAAATACAACGTAATTCCAATGTTTGAATTATGTGTGATTTTGTTGTATTTATATTGTACAATGTTTATCCCATAAAAATATTGTCCTACTATGCTACAACTATTTCCAACCATCTTATTGGAATTTTGAAAATTCCAATATTTTTCAAACCAAAATACAATAATTTCTAATATATTCATATATTTTTTCCCACAGTGTAATTTTATATTTTAAATTCAGACATCCTATATATATATCCTCGACTCATAAACCAGATAATCTCTAATTCTCTTTTACTGAAATAAAGCATACCAACAGTATCAAAGTATTCCTACTTTTGTTTTATTTCCTTTTGTCTGAATTTATACTATCCAAAACACCACAACTGATAACGACAAGGCTTTGGGAAAAGCAAGGAAAGATGTATTTCCTTCATCCAAGCACTTACTTTGTACGATTTATTTGTACCGAAATTTGAAGATGAACGTTGGTGTTGAGTTCACTCCTCAATTACCTTCTCATAGATAGGTTTTTGGAGTTGACTCTGGAAAAACGTTTCCAAAAGGTTGCGTACTGCAAGACAGACACCGAGATGGATGAAGCTGTTAGCAACTTGAAGACTTTTTTGTTGACCAAAGGCAATTGTAAGATCAACGGCTATACAGCTATAGCGTATTTTGAAGGGTATGATCAAGAATATTCTAAATACTTATTTTGCTATTACTAACAATTTAGAAGAGCTTGTTTGCTGATCAAGAACATTGTTTGAGATACATGTTAATAAGTACCCTCATCTAGGAAACAGGACTAGCAACAGAGTGGAGGGCACTCGCTCTGCTATAAAAGCTGCTTTGGCGCATATTTCTTCGGGTAGAATTTCCACTGTCACATCAAAGATTGACACTTGGTACAGACAACGAGTAATAAATAAACAAATGGATACAACTTGTTTGAATGTAAATTAATAACGGTATTTTGTGTATAGAGATTGGAAGAAAATCGTCAATGCGGCGTGGAAATGCTTGAAATCCGAGCCGATTTAATTGACGAAGCAATTGAATATCGATTCAAAAATTTGGTTTTTAAAATCACCCGATTTGCTATAGATCATATTTGCCAGCAGATAGATTAAGCCAAGTCGAAGCCAGCACTGATTAGCGATAATGACGACGTTACATCCGAGAACTGCAGATGCAGCTGTAAATTGCATTATATACTGCCTTGCTACCACCAACTTGCCAAATGCGATATCATCCCATTGGAAATGGTACCTGAAAGAGGGCGAATCCGTCAAGGTAAGTTTTGAAATAGTGACACAAAAAAGTTAAATCAAAAGTTCCAAAAATTACTAGTTGACGATTATGATACTGGTACTGCGGATGAGATAGAAGAATTGCCTGAAGAGTTCCACAACTCTCTTTATGGTAGGAGGTCAATTTAAATGGCTTTATACAAAATCATTTATAAATTACGTTTTATGTACAGTATCTTTAGATCACGATTTTCAGCACGAGGAAAACGAAAGGGGAAAAAGTAATGATGGAGTTGAACTTGCTTCTTTTCCTGAACTTCATGCAAAGATTTTCTCAACGTTGAGAGAGATTGATGATCTCAATAAATCAGTAGTTGCAGAACAATTAATTGTGGAAGTTTTGCATGATTTGACTGAGGTTAAAGAAAAACTACTTGGATCCAAGTTTGATCTGGCTGCAATTTTGCCACCTCTAACCAACATGAAGATTAAAGGCAAAAAGCCAAGCACTCATCGTCTGGAAATTGCGGTCTAAAAGTACGACAAAGATATGAAGAAGATTGACGATAAAAAGAGGAAAATAGGAAAGGCGGATAAAAAAAAAAGCAGTTGAAAAATCTGGAACATAAAAAACAAAAAAAAATCGTGTAGTACCAAATCAAAGCGGAATGCAACAACAAGTTGGCGGGCCTAAACGTGGTAAAGTTCTTCGAAGCTAACTCAACTTCAATAGTTCTATTTTAGATTCCAATGATTTGGACACTGATATTTATGAGATTAACTCTTGCGAAGAACCTTTAAACGAAGAACACATGGGGTTTGTTATTTATAAGCAAGTGTATTTTCTCATTGTATGACAAACTAAAAACAAGATAATACATTTATTCGTCTATATATAGCTATAAACATGAAGGGGATATTAATAACATGATTTTAGAAGTATCCCTTTCTTCCAACTTCAAGCTTGACGATATTACAGCTGTCTACAGCCCTGTGGGGGATGGCCAATGTGGATTTAGATGCCTGGCCATGCCTTTTTACGGAGATCAGAGTCAATGGATGGAGGTAAAGGATGTAATGGCCAGAACCTTTCAGATGTACAAACATACTTTGTACGAAGGAAGAGTAAACAACGAACATTTTGAAGAAATTTTGACGTTCAAGGACTCTCCTTGCGCGCCTCATTTTTACTTCAATGCAGCTGATTGTCTCCATCACAGCCGCGCACTCGGTGGTAAAAACCCTTGATTTTTTATCCCAGATGTGGTACAGGTGGTAAAAAAAAACAAATTTATACCACCAGAGGTGGTGCGTTTTATCTACCAGTGGTATCATTATACCACTTTAAATGGTTCAAACACTCCAACAGTTGTATCTTTTTACCACTTTAAACTGATTTATTGTTCCGTCTGTTGCATGTCTTTACCACTTTATATTGATATATTGTTCCTTCCGTTGTTTGTTTTACCACTTTAAAATGTCTTTTTGTTCATTTTGTTCCATATTTTTACCACTTTAAAATGTCTTTTTTATCATTCCGTCGAACTTTTATTACTTTAAAGCATTACATAATCGAAAAAATTTACGCATAAATACACAAAAACTGTAAAAATATGCGGGTATAAAAACGTTTTTATTGGTACTTTATTTTGTATTTTCACTTCGAAGCTTCTGAACGTGCATCCATATCATCGCCAGAAAAAATTTAAATGGAAATATTAATTAACTTACTATCAACAAGATATGACGGCAAAAAAAAAGTATTTCAATAAACCTCATTAAGAACCAAGGGAATCATAAGGTATAACAGCATATAAGACTAAGAAAAACGTTGGACTTCCCTGAGAAATACAGCCTAAAATAAAAAATGTAGCCTAAAATAAAATAAATCGCCCTAAAATTAGAAAATGCAGACTAAAATAAAAAAAAAAAATGCAGGCTAGAAATATTTTCTATGTCCTAAAAAGCATTTCATCAGCCTGGACGAAGCTTGTCTACATCTTGAAGCCTTTAATATCAGCACAGAAAAAGCTCTGAATCTATACAACACAATTAAAAACGTATTGAAAATGTAATATTATCTAGCACCTTCACCATATGTCACAAAGCGATTATACAAACTTTCTACGGAACTTATAAGCCAGGAATAGGATGAGTATTTATATATGCTATATTACCTTTTCTTATTGTTTACTCTTTTCTACAACCTGGGAAATTGTACTCAAATCATGGATTACAGAACTTAGGTTGTGTAAATAAGAATTTACGACGAGAAAGAAAAAGAAAGAGGAAAAAAAAAAGAAAAAAAGAGAAGTAAGTTTATTAATCTATTAGATTATTCAAAGTGCGAATTCTATAAAATTTTTAGTTATCTTCTGGCTATTTTTCTTCTAGGGTGGTAGATACGGTCATCTTCTAAAGTCTGTTCAAGCTCTTCGACACCAGTATTCTCATCGCCGTGCAGAGGACTATTCCGTTCTTCCTTTAGTTCAACAATAGAGGGAATAGTCTCTTCGTCATCCGACAAAGATCCTGCTTCCCGGGTTGACACGTTCTACAGAAAACGCATTAGAAGCATAATAATAAATAAGTGTGATTGTTTAGTCATTGTATTACCCATTTTCCCAGTCTGTTGTGAGCTACATTTGCCAACAACCTTTCTGCTCCCCAGTAGTCCTGGCATCTATCGAAGTCTATTTTACCTTTCTTGGTTAATCGTTCCAACATGATGATGCATTTCATCTTGATATCACGGGAAAGCTTACCCCAGGTGCAATTTATCAACACAGAATTCTGAGATATCTCGATTTTTAACTCTCCCAAACAAGTTTTGGCATGATCTCAAAATATGAACGAAAAAAAATACAAATTGCAAGTTCGTGGTGGTACAATTTCACGCCCGGAAGTTCAAAAAATCAACCGGTGGTACATTTTTACCGTCTAGTGCGCCTGCGCCAGTTTGCAGCTGACGCATTTGGAAGGGCCATTGCTGTATACACGGTTTCATCAAAGGCCCTGGTGAGACCCGGTCTTCTTCTCTGGTGAAACCCAGGCAGTCTGGAAGTAATACACATCTTACCGAGGGCTGGCCATTTTTATTTAATAAATCCAAAAAAGCGGGAATGCGGCCGAGCAGTAAGTTGTATACTGTCAGATGTCAATCCTTACCACAAGGCTGTAATGAAGAAATGGCCAAAATTGTGTGAAAATGATTTTACAATTTTGTTTTAAAAACTTCTTGATTTGGATTTTTCTTTTTTTTAAATCATTTTTTTAAATGTCCATTCAAGTAATAAATTATACAGTAACTATAAAAATGAATTAATAGGTAAAACGTGTGGTTTTTATTGTGAGAACTCATATTGTATTTAAGCAGAACTTAAAACAACCTGTCATAACGTATACTCCCGCCTACATAATATACAAGATTTTCTTGACGCACCATTCCGCGCACCAAAACTGAACATATTACGTAATAGCTTGGTGCACTATTCGTGCGCACCCAAAATGAATTTATTATGTAAGAATTTTATTTTAAAGCCCGATTTCGGTGCGCCAGCTGGTTCGCCAAGAATACCACATATTTATACATGATCATCCATTATTATGTAATGTGATGATTCCTTTATTACAATCTATGACATCCTCAACAGGGACTGTTAAAAGTAAGACATAGAATATAGATTATCTCTATTGGATGAATGTTCTATGTATTTATATTGATCATAATTGTCAAAAGGCATAAGTTCGAATATAGTAGCATAGATTTAGTTTGTCATAGTAATTCGCATAGATGGCATACAATGATCTTATCGGGCAAAAGATCATATGTCGATAGTAGTTGATATTTGAATTACCACAAACTTGACTTGCTAAACCTTACACGTGCCAGAATATATGTGACTACTATTACGACCATATATATTATGCTTGATGTGATGATCTGGCTTACTTCTAATAAAATCATCATCATACAAATAACATCAGATACACTTACATCATACATTCTACACTAAAATATAAATATCTCAGCATCCATACTTGATAAAGAAAATACTGTTGAGGATATCATAGATATAATAATAAAGTTAATTGTCACATCACTTTATGGATGGATAATAAATATAAAAGTCAATCATGAATCACGCATTACCCCGCTTGTTCTCATCCTACCGTTGGAGTCTGTACACAGGGCACATCCCTGTGGCGAGTAAATATTTATTCTGCAAAAGCAATACAATCGAATGGGCCTGTACTATAGAATATTGATAGATTCTGAGAACAAATATTACTCTTGTCATTTGATGTTATAACTGGTGATCCCTCTGACTAATATTTATATACTCAGTATGGAAGGGCTAAATTTAAAGACATGTTGATTATTTATATCACCATATTATTACATCATTGTTGTGTTTTAAGGTAAAGTAAAATTATAAAAAGACTATAGAAGTAGTTTGAGACTGTTTATAAGGTTGTCCTTTATTAATAAATGAAATATACGAGTATTTATATAAAAGACTGTCTGCTGTGTTCATATCTCTAGTGCTATCTTGAAGTTATCATTGATTAACCAAAAATATATATGACTATTACATAATCAATAATTTAGTCTTCTTCTAATAAATGTTAAGTCTTCTTGACTCTTTGCTTTAAACTAAATTTTGAGTATTTCTCAGACGTACTATATTAGACTTGTGATGTAATATCCTTATAGTTCCTACTATGACATTTATTGTTAAGCTTATATGACAAATGGTATCAGCATGGATAAACCTTTGTTAGCTCTAATATGGCTATAGCCTTGCTAGGTCACCACAATCATGATCCAATAAGGCGCTTACTATTCTCCCTAGAACTATCCCAGTTCTTTATATAAATATTTA